ATATATATATATATATATATATATATATATATATATATATATATATACACGTTTCATTAAATAATATACACAAGTGTTGTCTATTTATTTTATGTAAATTTTCTTATGTTGGTCACACCACAAACTCGCTTTCATGACGCTTGACGCTACATTTGAATGAAAGCTCTAACATTTTTAGGCATTTAAAACAATATGCCTGCCCGCACACACAATTCTGTAAAATACTTGTCGAAAACACAACTATACTTCGACATGAAAACAATAGACAAAAACTAAAAATACTTGAAGCATTATACATCAAACAGTTGAAACCCAACCTAAACAAAATGGCATCTCTACAAATATTCTTAAATGTCTATAATTGGTAACAGAAGCCATTGATTTATAGCAACGGCGTCCCATACTTCATACTTCTCCAATTCACTCTCGTGTGGTCATGCCTGACGTCATGAGATGCAGGGCGATTTTCCCTTCTAGCGTCTTATATGCACGTGTTTATCGTTGCTTAGAAATCCTCTGTGTAAACAATGACAGACTATCATCACTGTCTTGTCCGTATATTGCTTAATATGTTGTAATTGACATCTTTGATAATGTCTTAAGTAAGCCGAAAGCTTAGATTGTATTAAAATAAATATGGAACAATATTGTGAATTTCTTTCTTCGTTCAACGATAATGTTATTAAACTTATCAGACGTTACGAAAAAATTTTACATAAAATAAATAGACAACACTTGTCTCTATTATTTAATGAAACGTGTATGAATGAAAAGATGCTGCCTAAATACACACAATATATATATATATATATGTGTGTGTGTGTGTGCGCGCGCGTGTGTGTGTAGTACTAGTAGAAGCAGTTGTAGGAAATGCAAATATTTCTTGGGATTGTGGAGAAAATATTCTTCTGCTTAAGGAGTAATAAGACAATTACGATTGGTCAGAGAAAGGGCAAAGGAAGAAGGTTTTTTTTATCTTTTTATGACCCCTGTATCATTTTAAACTTATCTCCATTTTTTGTATATTGTGTGTGTGTGTTTTTTACTGTTATGTGTATGCATATTCCTTCTCCATACATATATACTATTTTATTATAAGGAATTCGTGTATATATATATATATATATATATATATATATATATATATATATATATATATATATACGATGTTTAGCTTTGGAGCGTGTAGAATGGAGATCAACGTGTTTTAGTGGACTCAGCAATTTTCAATCTGCTTGTCTGAATCATCTTCAAGAAGCGAGAGCAAGATCTAAGAGGTCAACCAATCTAACAGTGATCTCATCTCACAATCCTCACACTTGCTCCATATGTGGCCTCATTTGTAAATCACTAGCGGGTCTTAAAGATTAGTGCATAAACTTTCATAACTGAATCAATAAGCTGGCAGATCCTCATACGTCGAAACCGACGGGTGAGTCCAGTCCATTATATATATATATATATATATATATATATATATATATATATATGGAAGAGATTATAGCAGTTCCAACGAGAGAAAAGTGTGTATATTAAAATGAAGAGAGAAACCGCAAACTTTTTGGGTTGTAATGTTGATTTTTTTTTTTAAATATTATGCTTTATTTTCCATAATTTTGCTACTCGCGACCGTCATTAGACAAAGAGTGAAGATTTCCACATATTATTAAAAATAATTAATTTTTTCTTTATGTTTTTCGATGTTAAATATTCTCCATATGAGATATTCTCTTTTTTGTGTGTTAGTTACCGAAATGTCTTTCTTTTTAATAATATGTGGAAATCTCCGCCCTTTGCCTGATGACGGTCGCGAGACCGGAAACCCGTGTAGCAAAATTACAACCAAAAAAGATTGCGGTTTCTCTTTTCTTTTTAATAAATGTTTATTGACAGATTCTGATTTCAGTTCACATACACACGCAGAAAAAAAAAGAAAAGCACTGGATTTTAAAAATTAAATACATATAAACTCTGGTTAAATAAAGACTTGGGTATTTTAAATCTTTATAAATATTTCAATAGTTAAACATTTTTTTTAGATATAGTTAAAAAAAATTTAAACAACATCTAAAATATTATTACAGTTAGATTTACGTTAAAAATATTCGAACACAATGGCGTTCCATATCACGTGACGTCCGCATCTCGCGACGGACGCTACTTGTAAACAAACCTCTAAAAACAGTTATTTCGGAAGAAAGATCCAGGTCGATCTGAAATATCAAAACTACATATGTATAAAAATAAATATAAAAATATATATAAAACATATCAATAAATACTTTCATAAAAAAACATTATTATTTTTTTTTTCATTTGCAACTTTCTATATATACATATTAAGAAAGTATACGTGGCTTCTCATTATGCTATGTGTATATATATATATATATATATATATATATATATATATATATATATATATATATATATACGCACGCTTCCTATCTTGTGTAGCGTTCGTATGTCTGCTTGCGTTTATTTAGTCTGTTGTGTTTGTTTTTGTCAGTATGGGTACATATATTAATTTTCCATAGATTCTTGTGTGTGTGTGTGTGTGTGTGTGTGTGTGTGTGTGTGTGTGTGTGTGTGTGTGTGTGTGTGTGTGTGTGCCCGACTAATGTATTCGGCCATTATCTGTGAATTCTATGTGTTTATGTGTGCGGGGTTATGATCTATTTAGTGCTGGTTTAAATTTGTTTATGAAGTTTTTTGTTTTTTTTCTTGCATTTGTAGGTAAGAATAATTGTCTGTTTGACATATTGGCAAAATTTTAAATTTACCCTGGTTACATTTGTAGGTGTCTTGCGATACAAAGAGTTTTCTGTTGACTGGTAATTCGATCCTAGCTAGAGGCAACCAGATGTCTAGCCACACTGATGAGCTGTGAAACAGCGAAACAGTCTGTCTGTGGATGACGTTATATATATATATATATATATATATATATATATATATATATATATATATATATATATATCGCTCATCATCCATAAACATACATGCACACAGCCACACACACACATATACATATATTATATATACATACACACACACACACACACACACACACATATATATATATATATATATATATATATATATATATATATATATTTTGGTTGGATTGATGTGAGTTTGTGACCCTGGGTTTCACGCTTTCGCGATCGTCGGACAACTGATTATTTTTTTTTAAATTTTGGGTTTATTTAGATTGCGTGTATTGGTGTTATTATGGAAGTGGGGGAAGGAAATCGTCGTCGTGATGTCACTCATGCTAACGCAAACATAGATGCATGTCCGTACACCCGATGAGGTACGCAGACGCACATACACACTTGCTCGTCCGCCGGGGCTCATATAAACATATGTGGACAGTATGGGATTTGACATATGTATGTATATGGGTGGTGTTGTACATACGCCCTGTGTCTTTTCTATAAACGCTTTCATGGTAAATGTTCGAATGAGCAATTCGCTATTGTATCTATACTTATTCAATTTATACGCAGTACTAGACTGGCCTCGACATCTCATCGATTTACAATCCAGTAGGCTAGATATAACCGTATGTCAATCGGTTCTTTTCTCGCACTTCTCGCTTGTGAACCTCCCTTCCTTTTCCATACTTACCAAACAACTTTAATCTGCAAAAGTTTGAATGCAATGTCAATCGCTACTCTTTTCTCTTTCTAATTCCTCCACACGCCCTTGTGTCTTAGTGGCTTTGCTGCCTTCAATGGGTTGATATCGATTAAACACATATATGTATATGTGTGTGTGTATAGGAAAGCCATAAAACGAGAGATATTAATATTTGCTCGTGCATTTATTAAAAAAAAGGGGGATTGGCTGCAAATAATGGCCACGTAAATTATTCTTTTGAAATTATGTTTTGTTACTATTTGTCTTCAAAATCTATCAACTATTTCAGTCTACTCATTGAGTTTTGAATCCAAAATGAAAATGATGCAAAATTCGAATTAAATTATTTTAAATTCCCATTTGTATAAGCTAAACGTTTTTCTTTATTTCATCTTTCTGCTCTCGAGAAAAAATAACAAAAATTCTAAAGAAACATGCTGTAAAACCAATGTCATGAATATAAGTGTCCTTCAAAGCAACGAAGGATTGCGCATGCGCCTTTTCTCTCCTTGTAATGACAAGCAAAGGCCATTTGCTTTTTATAAGCAACTGAAAGACATTGAAGGAGTTAGAATATTCGAATATTCGCATTTGAAACTCAGGTTTTCATGGTATTTTTTAACTTGAAAAGAAATAAATATACATTGTAAAATTATGATAAAAGAACACTTAATACTAAGATAGATAGATAGATAGATAGAAACTGTGGCAGATAGCAAGAAAGAAAGAGAAGAAAGAAAGAGACTGAGATAGATAGATAGATAGATAGATAGATAGAAATTGCGGAAGATAGATAAATCATTACATTCACTTAGTGGTAATACCCTGGGAAATGCTATGAATCCAAATCTTATCCCCCAGCAGTGCAGGTTAAGTCCTATAGCCTTGAGTGTCAACCAATCTAGGAGAAGGAAACAATGCGGATCACCCTAAAAGCATGTATACAGGAGGTGCAGGAGGGGTTATGCATACTATTTGCTGTAGATGATGTTTCACTACCTCGATTTTTCACCTTACACATCACTCACTCCATATTCCAATTGTAAGGAGGAAGTTCAACTCAGACTGATTTTTCACCCATGAACCGGTTCTTTACGGAACAGACTCTCCGAACGCTACAACCTATTCTCTATGATTCTTTACTTCTCTTACATTCATCTCACCCACCTTATTCAATAACACTCTACCTTTAGTTACTCTTGAGCCTTGCGGCAACTGAACATCAGTAAAAAAAAATATGATGTTTAGAGCAATAAAGACAAGAAATTCCTTTACACTATTTGCATGTCGACTATTTATATTCGTTTTTTATTATCACGACGTTTCGACCGTTGAGCCCACCGGCCTTAATCAGGGTAATCTACAGTGGATTTTGAACGCAACCCTTTATTTAATTACGAGACTAGACTGTTTTCGTTCCACTGCCCATGTCTACAGACATCTCATCTATTTCTTATTTTCAGTACTGCTCAGTTATTACTATCCCTGTTTCCATTGAGTCACAGTATACACTGCCCGGTGCAGAGATTGAACTCACGATAACATATGTCACCAAATTCTCGAAGCTACTTTTTAATCCACTAGAATTACTTAAGAACAGTCTACCCCCTTAGATTAAATAAAGTGTTCAGTTCATAATTCCCTGTAGCTTATCCAGATCTATATTCACCTGGTGAAGGCCGGAGAGCACAACGGCCCAAACGTTGGGATAGCATCTGAATGTAAAAGACAGGAATATGTGGAGAGCCATGATCGATCGCGTACTCAAGGGACACGACGCATAAAAGAAAAATCATGGTTCACAGGCTTACGGCCACATCACGTTGAAACACCGGCACCCGTACGATCACCAAAGTTAAGCAACGTCGAACCTGATCGATCCTTAGATGGGTGACTGTTTGGGAATACCAGGCGTTATTAGCTTGGATGTGAGGGTCGTGTAATGGATAATGGCCCGGTATTGTTAATCGGCGAGCGTTTGGGAAAGGCATGAAACCAGTATTTTTCTATATTCTATTTACTAAAACTTAATTAACTAAACCACTATTTTCTCAAAAAAAAATTTTACAATCTAAAAATATGTGCTGGCAAAAGGCTGATAAACCATAAAAAACAAATCAGTCAATTTACGCATGGTTCTTTGAATATGACGGACATAGAATATTTTTCAAGCTTTTTGAATTCACTTTTCACGTGTCTTAAAAGTCGTATTATTATTATTATTATTATTATTATTATTATTGGTGTGATCCCAAAATCTCTTACATTTGACGTCAACGGAGACTATTTTAAACTTTCAACTTTCAAAAAAAATATCATGATGTACAGAAAGGAATTTCACTTATTGCTCAGACAACACATTGTTTTTTGAAAATGACTGAGAATGGTCGAAATTAGGTGGACAAAACAATATGATTAATTATTAAGACTTGTATCACTAGACCACTGTTTTCTCAAAACACCAATGCTTGTAATCTAAAAATATTTTCTGGCTTTAAATATCCTGCAAAGGGTTGATAAGCCGTAAAAAATAATGGGTAATACGGTCTATTTTTTAAACTCCCTTAAAACGGAAAATTGTAAGAATGGTAGAAGAATTTTTAAAAAAATCAATAAAAACAACTTCCACAAAAAGAAAAGTAACACATGCTTTTTGAATAAACTCTACTAATAAGCAATAAGAACGAGTTGCAAAGTCCACATCGTGCCCCTATCCAGAGGGTGGGTTCCATTACAAATGTTTTATTCATATGCAAAGCTATTACTTTGAAAAGAAGCGCATATAATGTTTTGGTTTATAAATATATTTTATGCCGTTTCTCGAATATTTGAGAAAGTATGTCGTACTGAAATGAGAGGTAAAACTCTAAAGTTGCCCTTTGTGTAATTACATTATTTTTGATTACTCATAACAGGTAAAAAAAAATGAATCATTAAATGGATGATTTATATATTTTTTTTCTCCTGAAGCAATAAATTTTGCGAACATTATTATTTTTTTTTTTACAAGCGCGTCTTTCGTCACATGACAAGTAGCGATGAAATTCGTAAAACAAATTTTATTCATAAAATTCGGTCTTCGAAATAATAAATTAAAATATTCAATTTAATTAAAATACAGAACAAAAACATGAGCAATTATTTTATAAATATACTTAATGTCAGCCTAAAATATTTATAGATTTATAGTAATTCAACGCAGATCGCTCTGAAAGTAATACCTCATTTATTCTATAGGGTGGTCCGAAAATCTTGTCACGGCCTACCAAAATGTAATGAGAACAATAGGAGAACAGGTAAGACAATAATACAAAGCACATGGACTGGATTCAGTTTATTCACTTTCATTGAGGGTACCTCGAGGCGGTGTAATGGCTAACAAGCTTGTCTCGCTACAATTACGACCGAGTAGTGAGTTCGATCCTCACTGGGTGCCCCTTAATTTCGGTCTTGTCGCACATCTTAAGATCTATTCACTTTCATTGACGGCGTCACACATCCAGAATGTCTGCATGAAAATCATCATTTTCTTGTCAGCCATCTGAAATAAAAAAAATTATATTATGTGCCGGTGACAAGACTTTCGGACCACCCTGTAGAAAGAACATCACGCTATCATTATATGAATATTTCATTTCAATATACAGGGTGGTCCGAAAGTCTTGTTACCCCTACCAAAATGTAGTGAAAACAAAAAAAAAAAAATACAGTAATACAAAGCCCATGGACTGGATTCAGTTTATTCACTTTCATTGACGCTGTCACACATCGAGAAGGTCTGGATGAACCCCCATCATTTTTGTGGCGGCCATCTGAAATAGAAAAATGATATTATGTTGGAGTGACATGACTTTCGACCACCTGTAGATTCATTGATGAAATTACAAAACATCCTCATATATGTATATATCTATCTATCTATCTATCTATATATATATATATATATATATATATACATACATGTTTCATTAAATAATATAGACAAGTGTTGTCTATTTATTTTATGTAAATTCTTTTTATAACGTCTGATAAGCTTAATAACATTATCATTAAGCAATACACGGACAAGAATGTGATGATATATTGTACAGTAATTGTCATCCTTGATAATGTCTTATGCAAACCGAAAGCTTAGATAGGATTATAAAATATGGATCAATATTGTGATTTTCTTTCTTCGTTTAATGATAATGAACCAATGTTTTGTCTGTGCGTCGAGTGGAATTCCTTTCTGTACATTTTGGTATTCTTTGGAAAGCTGAAAGTTTGTAGTAGTCTCCGGTGACTTCATTTGTAACAATTGTGCTCTTGTTAGGACCAGAAATAAGGACACAAAGAGAGGAATTAATTTAAACAAATATATTAACAGAAACAGTAATACAAACATATACAAAAGAGAGTGTTACAACAAGAATGTTCGGTCTGATTGTCAGAGCTGACTGCTGGAAAATTCCCTCAATCCAAAAGGCAGTACCTGCTCCTATTTATAGCTGGGAGAATCCATGCGTGCGTGGGTAAATTACCATAATAGATAGATAGAAAGATAGATAGATAGATAAGAACCAAATGACAAATAGACATGAGATAGATAATGTTGTGGCTTTGTTAGGGCCAGAAATAAAGACACAAAGAGAGGAATTGAGTTAAATACATATATTAACAGAAAACAGTAATACAAACATATAAAAATGAGAGTGTTACAGCAAGAATGTTCGGTCCGATTGTCAGAGTTGACTGCTGGAAATTTTACTCTCTAAAAGGCAGTACCTGCTCCTATTTTCAGCTGGGAGAGTCAATGCCTGTGTGGGTAAATTACCATAACAGTAACAGATTTTTGATTCTGCTTCGAAACTTGTGGATAGAAATACAAAGAAATGTCAAAGATTAAAGAAATCACATCACTTGAAGAGCAGCAACAATTAAATTGATATCACATGCAACCATGAGAAAATAATGATATAATCAAAATGCTGATATTCCACTTTTTTAAATCGATTTCACCCCAGGCAATCAGTAAGGCCACTAAGACATGAGGAGATAGATAGATAGATAGATAGATAGATAGATAGATAGATAACAAACTGAAATAGATTTATACATAGAGAGATATGAACAGACCTCGATATATCGATAGATATATTGGTAGATAGAAATATATCAAATATATCAACAGACTGACTAGATAGATAGATAGATAGATAGATACCAAGCGAGCAGGCTAGGCTAGATAGATAGATAGATAGATAGATAGATAGATAACAAACTGAAATAGATTTATACATAGAGATATATGAACAGACCTCGATATATCGATAGATATATTGGTAGATAGAAATATATCAACAGACTGAGATAGATAGATAGATAGATAGATAGATAGATAGATAGATAACAAACTGAAATAGATTTATACATAGAGATATATGAACATACCTCGATATATCGATAGATATATTGGTAGATAGAAATATATCAACAGACTGCGATAGATAGATAGATAGATAGATAGATAGATAGATAGATAGATAGATAGATAACATACGGAAATAGATTTATACATAGAGAGATATGAACAGACCTCGATAGATAGATAGATAGATAGATAGATAGATAGATAGATAGATAGATAGATAGCATGTGGACTGGGATAGATAGATATGAACAAACTGAGATAGACGCAAAGAAGGCAGATGAACAGAAAGAAATACAGGGCAGGTTAAAGTGACTCTATGCAAATATTGTTTCACGTTTAAAACACAGAATATAGAAAAGACACATGAAATAATTGATATTTCTTTATATAAATTATAAATGATAATGTCTTATAAACAAACATAAAGTATATAAGACTAAAACTCCTCAGGACCAGAAGCACCAGTTTCAATACAAATTTGCAATTCTTCACGAAAAGTTTGAAATGCATTTTGACACGTTTCAGATTTTATCGAACCTGATTCTTCAATAAAATTCTTTAAATCCTGGCGTGTTTCATATTTTCGGTGCTAAACCGATTTTTGTGACAATTTAAATGCGCCACTTGAAAATGTACCAAGTTGTGAGATTAAGACAAATGTAATTATTTTTTTAATCGTATTCACCCCAAACAAGAGCGTAAAGCCACTAAGACACAAGGAGTTACTGGGTGTGGAAGAATTAGAAACAGAAACATCATACTTATTATAAAACCCAGGTTATGTGTGTGTGTGTGTGTGTGTGTGTGTGTGTGTGTGTGTGTGTGTCTGTGTGTTTATATATTGGATCGGATTTCCTACATTTTTCAACCGATTTCAACAAAACTTCACAGGACTACGTAAAATTACCATGCGGTGGTTCTGATAGCGCTAAAAATTGGAAAAACACAATTGTTTTTGCACGAAATCAATTTGAAAACACGATTAAGAGGCATCGCTGTAGCGAGAATGAAAAGGGGACAACTCATATCGAGTTATACTTATTATAAAACCCAGGTTGTTTGTGTTTGTGTGTGTTCGTTTATATATGGAACAGATTTCCTACATTTTTCAACCGATTTCAAATAAACTTCACATTTTTTGGCAGGTAGTGTTTCTATTGTCTTGCACACTTTTTCTTTATTTTTACATTCAGAATGCTTTAAAAATTCCATTTACAAGACAATTGTTTATAATAAAATTCTATTCAATCGGTAGACTCATAACGATTGAAAACAATGTTTTTTTTGAGTTTGGGTTTGACCAATTCGTAAAAAAACAAAACAACAAAAAACAAAAAAAAACTAATTAAGACATGCGTGTCCGTCAACTATAAACAATAATCTTTGTCAATTTTATTTTTCAGTCTTTATGATGGTCGATACTTGATCTATCTCTTACTGTTACATCCCCGGGCAACGCCAGGCTCTACTGCTAGTTAGTAACAAGAGGGAACAAAAATAGTAATCAGGAGGACAGAAGATAGCGATTGATATTACATTTAAATTTTTGAAGATTAAAGTTGGATGGAAAGCATGGAGCTGGAAAGAGTTTGTCACAAATTTCAGATAAATGGTTAGGAAAAGAACTCTCATTCATACTGAAAAGAGCAATAATAATCTTCAGGATTATGTTTTCCTGAAAAGAATTTTTTAAAAGAAAGATTTTATAAATTTCAACCGACAGTAGTACTGGCGACTCGGTCAATAAAGGCCGGCTGTTACCATATAAGGAAACAGGTAATTTCCTATTATATCAGATAGTAGTCTGACAAAATGACTTCTGTCACGAAAGTGCTCACGGAAAGGAAATGAATTCATACATTACAAAAATTTCACCTATTGATATTCATTGATAATTGCTGAATATTTACGGAGAAAAAACAATGGATATGAACACAGTTATTAGAATTCTGTAAAAAAAAAAGTAGAGTTCAAATCGATGCTAGTTAATCCTGGTCAAAACAACTGAAACTCGTGTGACAATTTATTACTCAAAACCATTTTAACAATTCCTCTGAGAAAACTGTTGTTTCCAGGGCTCCGGGGTTAAAATGAAAAGTTGGTTTACCCACGCCAGGAGGTTTATGGAGAAGGATATGACAAGGAATACACAGATTATTTTCAATAAAACAAGATAAGGAATTTATTCATGAATTCACATGCTTGGATTTGTCTCAGTAGCTCGCTTTACGAAAATAAATCCGAAAATTTTAAGGTCCGTAGTTTTAACGAATTGTCATAAAGAGGAAATGTTTATATAACAGATGAAATAATCTGACAAAAAATAATATTAAACAAAGGTAAGAGAGTCCATTGGAGGGGTATACGTTTGCATACGTTCAAAAGTAGACGAAGAGAGATAGTTTGAAATACTTAGTGTCATGGGCCCTTACCTATAACTACAGAATGAACTCTTCCTAACACTATGTATACTACGCCTCTAAAGAGAGAGAGAGGGACGAATCGATTCGAGACGATAGTAGTTCACTCCATACCAGACTGACAGACATACTAACACCTTCCACATCTTGTATTATTATTATGTGTAATATACCTACGTTATTTCTATTCTTGTGTTCATGTTGTTCTTCCTTGGTCCAAACCTGGACCATAACACTTAGCTTTCTTGGATTGTTGAAATAAAGTTCTTTGATATGCCAAGTGCTTGCTTAAGTCCAATAAAATAATTAGCGAGTAATTTGACATTGGCGAAAATCTGGACACTGCATGCATGAACAGAAACGAAACTTTTCACTTGTCTTCAAAGATTCTTGTCTTCTTGATTCATTTTATTTCCTTATTTGATATTGTTATGGGACCTTACCCATAATAACATAATGGACTATTCCATACGTAATAAATACTGCGCCTCAATAGGAAGCAGAGAGTTCCGTCTGAAGTCTGGAGTTCTGTCGGTAGTCTAGAGTTCTGTCGGTATTCTAGAGTTCAGTCTGAAGTCTGGAGTTCCGTCTGAAGTCGGGAGTTCAGTCTGAAGTGTGGAGTGAAGTCCGTCAGGAGTCTGTCAGTCAGTCCAGAGCGAGCGAGTCAGTCAGTCGAGTCAGAGGCAGTCCGAAACAGAGTCGCATTCAGACAATTACTACTAAACCTGATTGTTCGTACTAACCCTTTCTACTTCTCTGTATATATCCCTCTTTGTAATATATCTGTGTTATTCCATATCCGTATTCGAGTTCTTCTTTATTGGTTCTACCTTGGACTATCACCGTAGTACAAGGAACCGGACCATAACAGATATCAAAAAGGATTTTACCTAGGCTCACTATTTTCTATTCTTTCTTTTTCTAGGCTAAACGGCTAATTCCCAGAAGAGGGCAAATCGACTGAAACGTCGTGAGTAAATTAACAACGTTGAAATCATTAGTCCGAATGTAAATAATAACTGTACATCCCATAAATTCTGTCAGAGAAAATAATCAGTTAAAGCTGAAAACTTATTCTATCCAACACTGTTCATGGTGTTCCTTGTATGTTGTATGGGGGGGGCGTGTAGATAATTTGGAGGCATTACTTTCGGAGCGTCGTGCAAAAATTATTTTGCTTATTTTTTTTTCACCCCGGATAAAAATAAAAATACGATGCACGCGTAAAATTCTTGACATGTCAAATTAGAAATGTATAAATTAAACCCAAATTAAATTAATTTTTTTTTTTTTTTAATATTTTCTTTCGGTTTCCGTTAACACAAAAAATATTTCATTAAGATTTTAATTAATCATTTTAATCAGGATCTGATCAATTCATTTTTTTCTATAAAAGTCACCGTATCAAATTCAATCGTCTTGAAAATCAATAACGTATGGAAATGATCAGTTACATGACGAAGGCCAAAGAGACAGTCACAATTGCAAGCGAACGATTGACACTCGACATGATTAATAATGGAAGTAATCACGTCTTGTCGTTAATTCCAGGACAGATGAAATACTCATAGAACAGAATTTTTTTTTTTTTATCGAAGTGTTTTTACGTGTACATCAACTCTTTTCTTGTTATGCTAATGAAATCTTGTCGAAATATTTCGACTTGAGTAGGATATTCCTACTTGCCGCCAAGACTATGAGGACGAAATATGAAATAAATATGAAATACTTATGAAATATGAAATAAATATGAAATATGAAATAAATATGAAATATGAATTATATATGAAATAAATATGAAATATGAAATAAATTTGAAAAAATATGAAATACGAAATAAAAATGAAATATTAAATAAATATGAAATATGAATCAAATATGAAATATATATGAAGTATGAATTAAATATGAAAAAATGAATTAAATATGAAATATGAATTAAATATGATATAAATATGAAATACGCAATAAATATGAAATATGAAATAAATATGAAATAGGAATTAAATATGAAATAAATATGGAATAAATATGAAATATGAAATAAATATGAAATTGAAATAAATATGAAATATGCAATAAATATGGAATATGAATTAAATATGAAATATGAAATAAATATGAAATATGAATTAAATATGAAATATGAAATAATATGAAATTAATATGAAATATGCAATAAATATGAAATAGGAATTAAATATGAAATTTGAAATAAATATGGAATAGGAATTAATTATGAATTATGTAATAAATGTGAAATATGAATTAAATATGAAATAAATATGAAATATGAAATAAAAAGCTTCGCTAGAAATTAAAACTCGCTTCCTCAACTCCCCTGAGATATAGAGCGTGTTGATTTTCACTTCTTTTAGAATATCGACATTTCACTCAGTGGAAAAGCTGGGGTTTGATGTTGTAAGTACAAATACCAAAAATTAGATTCATATCTTTTAACCATTTTTGAGTATTTATTTCTAAATCTCGTCTGGAAAATCGACAGAAATACCTAATTTCCGCAAATTTCTACTTACAAACTCACTTCAGAATTTTACTATTGCAAGAATAAATCTAAATAGAGTTTGTTATGTTTTGTATTAGATGCATTGAATAGAAAATATATTCAAACCACAATTCTATTTATGAATCACCATAAGCGGAATATACATTTTTTACTGTATTCGATAAGTAAAAAATATGTAAAATAAATTGTAAAAGCTTACAAAAATGGCTACTCAAGTTAGATTTATTAGTCATAATTAATAAAAACAAAAAATAGATAAATGTGTATATAACACGATAATACTGTTGGGTACAAATTATAAAACAAACCTTTTTAAAAGGTTATATTGTTTATTGAAAATCACACAAAACGACTGCACTGTATAACGTATTAAATCATAATATAGCTAAATTGTTCGGTCTAATTTCTCTTTGATGTAAATGAGGGGTTTTATTTGATGGTACAATGATTTAGTAATAATGTGCTTGTGCCATGAATCTTGTCTATATACAATTTGTAAACCTTCAGTAAACTAGGCTTTCCTATAAGGCTTTCATTGATCACCGGAATGAAATTCCAACGCTGCCATTTTGAACCTAATCTTAATCCTGAAACTCGTCTCCTCAAAAAACGCTAACAATTTAGAAAAACTGTTTGTTTTGTTAATTAACATGTCAAACACCAACTTTCAAATTGTACATTCCAAAATCGACCTACCGTACTGACCAGTTATCTTACCGGAAGTGATCCTGACGAGACCTCCTTCCGGTCATTTGTTTGAAAGCTTATCACCCCTCCTCTACACCGGTTCTGCAATCAATCCGCACAATCCTGTTAAACTTCAAAATTGTCTCGGCCTTCTTTCCTCATTAGGTGTTTCCGAGATTTTAGTAGTCTCGTTCTGATTGTAAGTATATGTTTTGGCTGTTCCTAGTTTATCTAATCCTTCCTCATTTCTCACATGTTCTCTCCATGCCTGTTCTTACCGTTCGTCGGTAAAACCACGTTTCTGTTCTTCATGTGTACGGAAACTGTCCAGCTCCACCTAGAATAGCTTGCTATTCCCCTGCTGAGATATTTACAAAGCAAAAACTTTTTGGCACAAGGCCACAAGTTTTGTGCACCCACTGAGAATCGAAGCAACTATTGCATGTAAAACCTAACCCTAACATTTTTTATATTTATACGTCCTTTTTATCGATACAGATATTTAAGTAAATGCTGTTTATAATAAACAGTATTAAACAGGATATACCGGCCTGAATGTCCAAGAAATTTTCATAGAAAATATTCGTCCTCCGACAGGAATCAAACCTGTATCCTATACATTTGTTTACATTTGGATACGCATTGAGCAGATATGAATGAATATGAAAAAAATCATGGAGAATTGTGTTTAAAAAAAGTAAAATCGACCTTGGTAACCGAACGCGTCTCTGTAGCGAAATCGGTTAAGGGACTTCAGACTATATGACTGTTCCGTATAGGATACAGGTTCGATTCCAATTTTGCCACCTTTTATTCAATTTGGCTTATTTATTTTTCTATTTATTTATTTATTTATTACTTTTCTTGTTTGCATGTCATTCCTGTAACTAAAACCCTGCAGCAATCAAAAGAAGGCAAATCGGCTTCCCATTGGCACAAAAAGAAAAACATTTTTTTCTCAATATCAAAAGAAATATCCAGGGACTTTGCGCAATAAAGAAAGTTTACGAAGAGAGAATTAATTGTTCCCCGCCCATGTTGCGTAGTGAAGTGCTAAAACGAGGTTTAAAACAAAAACGTAAAAGAGGTTCTAAAACGAAGATATGAAAGATGTTCTAAAGCGAAGACGTAATAGTCGTTCTAAATCGAACACGTAAAATGGTTTCTAAAACGAAGGCGTAGAATTGTTTCTAAAACAAAGACGTAAAAGAGGTTCTAAAACGAAGATGTAAAAGTCATTCTAAATCGAAGACGTAAAATTGTTTTTATACGAAGACAGAAAAGATGTTCTAAAACGAAGACGTAAAAGTCGTTTTAAATCGAAGACGTAAAATTTTTTCTATATCGAAGAGGTAAAAGAGATTCTAAAACGAAGAAATAAAAAGATCTTTTAAGACGATGACGTAAAAGTGGTTTTAAATCGAAGACGTAAAATTGTTTCTAAAACGAAGACGTAAAAGAGGTTCTAAAACGAAGATATGAAAGATGTTCTAAAGCGAAGACGTAATAGTCGTTCTAAATCGAACACATAAAATGGTTTCTAAAACAAAGACGTAAAATTGTTTCTAAAACGAAGACGTAAAATGGTTCCTAAAACGAAGACGTAAAATTGTTTCTAAAATGAAGACGTAAAAGAGGTTCTAAAACGAAGATGTAAAAGTCATACTAAATCGAAGACGTAAAAGTCATTCTAAATCGAAGACATAAAATTGATTTTTAAACGAAAACGTAAAATAGGTTCTAAAACGAAGATATAAAAGATGTTCTAAAACGAAAACGTAAAAGTCGTTCTAAATTGAACACGTAAAATGGTCTCTAAAACGAAAACGTAAAAGAGGTTCTAAAACGAAGACATAAGAGATTCCTAAAAAGAAGACGTAAAACTCGTTCTAATTCCTAGGCGTAAAATAATTTCTAAAATAAAGAAGTAAAAGATGTTCGACGACATAAAAATATTCTAAAACGAAGACGTAAAAGTTGTTCTAGATCGAAGGCGTAAAATAGTGTTTAAAACGAAGACGTAAAATGTTCTAAAACGAAGACATAAAAGATTCCTAAAAAGAAGACGTAAAAGTCGTATAAATCGATGGCATAAAATATGTTTTAAAACGAAGACGTAAAAGATCTTCTAAAACGAAGACGTAAAATACTTTCTAAAGAGAAGACATAAAAGATATTGTAAATCGAAGACGTAAAAGTCGTTCTAAATAGAAGGCGTAAAATACTTTCTAAAACGAAGACGTAAAATTGTTTCTAAGACGAAGACATAAAAGATGTTCTAAAACGAAGACGTAAAAGTCGTTCTAAATCGAAGGTTTCAAATATTTTCTAAAACGTAGACGGAAAAGAGCTTCTAAAAGGAAGACGTAAAAGAGGTTCTCAATCGAAGAAGTAAAAGAGGTTTTTAAACGACAACGTAAAAGAGGTTCTAAAACGAAAACTTAAAAGTCGTTCTAAATCGAAGGTTTAAAATAGTTTCTAAAACGAAGATGTAAAATGGTTCTAAAACGAAGACGTAAAATAGGCTCTAAAACGAAGACTTAAAAGAGGTTCTAAAACGAATGTCGTAAACAAACAAAACAGTTGTCAAACTATAAGACTTGTTCAATGAAAGAACAGACGTAGATTCTTTAAAGAATGTTAAAGTAGTTTTCTGTATACCATTTAGAATGTCATATGATTGTATTTTGGTCTTAATTTTGTGATTAAATGACGTCTCATTGTTACCATCAGTGACTGTTCTGCCCGATAGAAAGAAGATCTTTTTGATCACTAATGAGTAGTGATACCAATGTAATTGGCTTAGGAATTTCATTTTAAATTGTGCAGTTAAAGACAAAGTGGGTGGAAGCAAAAATGATGCAGTAAGAAAAGAATGACGGAATAAAAATAAATATCGTTAGTGAAGAGATTAAGAAATGTAGTGATAATCTAGAAAAAGAAAGAAAGAAAGAAAGAAAGAAAGAAAGAAAGAAAGAAAGAAAATCTGAATGTCTTCTAGAAAGAAAAGTTGATAGTAAGGATATCTGAAACTGTGCCACGAATGAAAGGAAGACAGAAAATCTGAATGCATATCAAGAAAGAAAGAAAAAGGAAAGAAAGAAAATTTGAATATCTAAAAAGAGAAAGAAAGAAAATATTAATGCATATAAAGAAAGAAAGAAAAATGCAAAGAAGAAATACAAATATCTAAAAAAAGAAGGAAAGAAAATATTAATGCATATAAAGAAAAAAGAAAGAAAGAAGCAAAGGAAAAAAGAAAGGAAGAAGGAAAAAAAGAAAGAAAGAAGGAAAGAGAAACTTCGAATATCTACAATAAGAAAGAAAAAACTATTAATGAGTATAAAGAAAGAATAATGAAAGAAAGGAGGAAGGAAGAAAAGAATGAAAGAAAATTCGTATATTTGCAAAAAAGAAAGAAAGGCTAAATACGTATAAAAGAAAGAAAGAAAGAAAGAAAGAATGAATGAATGAATGAATGAAAAAAATTCGGATATCTACAAAAAAGAAAAAATTAAAATCTGAATGAGTATAAAGAAAGAAAAACAGAAGGAAAGAAACGATAGAAAGAAAATAAAAGAGGAACATTTGAATGTCGGCAGGAAAGAAACTAAAAAGAAGGAAAGAAAATTTACAAATGAGGAAAGAAAGAGTACAAAAATAAAGAAAGAAGATTCGAATACTTGCAAAGAAATGGAGAAAGAAGTAAAAAGAGACATCTACAAGAAATAAAACAAACTGGATAATTGAAAGAAAGAAAGAAAGAAAGAAAGAAAGAAAGAAAGAAAGAAAGAAAGACAGAAAGACAGAAGAAATAACGAAAGAAAGAAGGAAGAAATAACGAAAGGAAGAAATAACAAAAGAAAGAAAGAAAGTACGAAGGAAAGAAAGAAAGTATGATAAAAAGAAAACAAGAAAGTAAGAAAGAAAGTACGAAAGAGAGAAAGAAAGAAAGTACGATAGAAAGAAAGAAAGAAAGAAAGTACGAAAGAAAGAAAGAAAGTAGGAAAGAAGGAAAGTACGATAGAAAGAAAGAACGAACGAATATCCAAATGCGTACAAAGAAAAGACTTGATAGAACACCTGAACGTCTTCAAAGAAAGAAAGTTGAAATCAAAAAAGTAATAATTGAAAGAAAGAAAGAAAGAAGAAATAACGACAGAAAGAAGAAAGAAATAACAAAAGGAAGAAATAACAAAAGAAAGAAAGTACGAAGGAAAGAAAGAAAGTACGATAGAAAGAAAACAAGAAAGAAAAAGAAAGTACGAAAGAGAGAAAGAAAGAAAGAAAGTATGAAAGAAAGAAAGAAAGAAAGTAGGAAAGAAGGAAAATACGATAGAAAGAAAGAAAGAATATTCAAATGCGTACAAAGAAAAGAGTTGATAGAACGCCTGAATGTCTTCAAAGAAAGTTGAAATCAAGAAAGAGAATGAAAGAAAGAATTTAAAAGAAAGAAAATCAGCACCAAACAAAAGGAAATACATTCCTGAAACATCAGAGAATATTAATAAAACCCAGAATAAAGAGAGAAAAGAAATATCGTCTGTTCATCTAATAAGTTTCAATATACAATAGTAACGTTTGCTAACATTTGTAGCGACTTCCTCCCGTCGATCCTCTTATAAATCAATGATCCGATTAGCTTATACTGTGAAACTTAAACCAAACCCAAATATCAATTGCTTCGCTTCATTTTTTTTCCTTCAGTCGTTAGTGATCATATGGATGCAATCAAATAAGTAAACCGCTTCCAACATAACAGAATCCGATGAAGTGGATGTTCCAAGGTGACTCAATCCACTCTAATATTATTCGATATTGACGTAAAAGCGATTCACATTAAACTGTCCGGCTATCCAGTGACAGTAATTGAAGCGAAACTGACAGACGATGTGCTTGTTGCTTCGGGATAAAAAGCGCAACGGGGAGAAGTGAGTAAAGTGTGTGATGAAGGCAGACATCAAAGCATACTTCTGCAATTTCTTTTCTTCTTTTTAACTCTTGTTCGTCGACAGATTTTTCTTCAGTGTTATTTTGTACTTTTTATTAGTTAGTAAGGGTATAGAGGAGACTGTTTCATGTTTCATCGTTTCAACTCAGCTAAGGTTTTTTTTTTCCCAGCGCAAACCAAGAGAATTTTGTACCCAGTGAGGGTCAAACTCACTACTCTCTCATACAAGTCAACGAAACAAATTCACTGAAAACTAACTCAACAATTTTGAACCAACAGCCATATTTATTAAGCTTAGCTTAGGTTTGGCATCAGGATATTTACGTAGGGTACTCATTGAGAAAACCGCTTTAAACCCGTACAATCATCAAAGTTAAGCAACGTCGATCTTGGTCAGTACCTACATGCCCGTTGGGAATCGCAGGTGTGGTAAGCTTGGATGGTCGGGTGGTATGTTTTACGGCCATATCAGCTTCAAATACCGGTTAATTTCTCTCTGAAAGTTCTACACTGCCTTAACCGGGTATTGAACTCACACTCTTTTGGTCCTGTCACTGGATCTAACTAACGCCTTTATCCAATGTGCCATGTGTCTTCAAGGACACATGGCACAATGGATAAGGGCGTTAGAGGAAAAATTAACAGGAGATAACTGATAACTGACAGCCATTAGACATGGCACGTGGAACTAGAACAGGCTAGTAAGCGAAATAAAGGGTTCAGTTCGACATTCCAATCCCCTGAAGAAGGCCGGAGCGTACAACAGCCGAAACGTTGTAATAAATATGGCGACAAAGATGAGGAAAATAGTCCGAATAATGTAAATAGTGAACATAATACCTCATCTCAGAAATATAGACAGATACTGAACGGCCGAAACGTTGTAATAAATATGTCGACAAAGATGAGGACAATAGTCCGAATAATGTAAATAGTGTACATAATACCTCATCTCAGAAATATAGACAGATACTGAACGGCCGAAATGTTGTAATAAATATGGCGACAAAGATGAGGACAATAGTCCGAATAATGTAAATAATGTACATAATACCTCATCTCAGAAATATAGACAGATACTGAACGGCCGAAACGTTGTAATAAATATGGCGACAAAGATGAGGACAATAGTCCGAATAATGTAAATAATGAACATAATACCTCATCTCAGAAATATATAGAGATACTCCAGGACGATGTGTGTGTGTATGTGTATGCGTGTGTGTATGTATACGAGTGTATATAAAACAACATTCGTGCAACAGATATACTTCAAAAATCAGGCAAGTGTAAACTTATTTCTAAATACTGCAATTAAACAGTTCAGCGGCTGATTCTAATTTAATGTGAGGAAACACAAAACGGACAAAGAAATGAATGAGTGTGTCCAAGAAGTGTTGTCGACACGTGATCAAATTTGCCGTAGGCTATTGGGTAAGCAACACTCCAACAGAGTGATAGCTTTAGGAAGCGTGTGTATTAAAGTGTCAAGTACAATTTAGACGAACGGTAATAGAAACAGCTCAAGTATGCAGTGCAACTAGCACTTAAACGTATATTTGCTATGTGTGCCATCAGCACTTCAAAACATTGTACCCTTTGTCGCTCTAAGCAATGCTTGTTATCATACTATCTCTGCCAAACCCTCTCCTGCCGTCGATTTACATAAACACAGTAGATAGTTTATTCGTTTATTCCCCTACATCTATTCTTTACTATTTAATTCACTCCCAAGCAAGGGAATAATTACACTAAGACACAACGAGCTACTGAAAGTGAAAGAGAATGAGAAGACTTTTTACACTATTTGAGTCGTTCGGACTGTTGTCCTCATCTTTATTGCTATATTCACGACGTTTCAGCAAGTTGTACACCAGGACCTTCTTCAGGATCTGTCTATATTTCTGAGATGAGGTATTGTAATTATTTACATTGTTCGGTCTGTTATCCTCATTTTGTCCCCATATTCACGACGTTTCGGCCGTTGTACGCTCCAGCATTCTTCAGGATATACCTATATTTCTGAGATGAGTCACTTGAATTATTTACATTGTTAGGTCTAGTGTCACATCTTTATGGCCATATTCCAGATGTTTCGGCTGTTGTACGCTCCGGCCTTATTCAGGATCTACCATCTATTTCTGAGATGAGGTATTTTAATTATTTACATTGTTTGAACTATTGTCCTCATCTTTATTGACATATTCACGACGTTTCGGTCGTTGTACCCTCCGGCCTTCTTCAAGATTTCTCTATATTTCTGAGATGAGGTATTGTAATTGTTTACATTGTTCGGTCTGTTATCCTATTTTTGTCCCCATATTCACGACGTTTTGGCTGTTGTAAGCTCCGGCCTTCTTCAGGATCTGTCTCTGTTTCTGAGATGAGGTACTGTAATTATTTACATTGTTCGGTCTGTTAACCTCATTTTGTCATCATATTCCCGGTGTTTCGGCCGTTGTACGCTCCGGCCTTATTCAGGATGTACCTATATTTCTGAGATGAGATATTTTAATTATTTACATTGTATGAACTATTGCCCTCATCTTTATTGCCATATTCACGACATTTCGGCCGTTGTACGCTCCGACCGTCTTCAGGATCTGTCTATAATTCTGAGATGAGGTATTGTAATTATTTACACTATTTGAATCGTTCGGACTGATGACCTCATATTTATTGCCACGACCTTTCGGCCGTTGTACGCTCCGGCCTTCTCCAAGTGATATACGTTGGATCGCGCCCTTCACTTAGTCTACAGAGGTAGATTGTTCCCAATCTGAAACTGAGATATCCAAAAAGAAACATGGCACGTGAAATTAGAACAAATTGTTAAGTTCTTATTGTTTTTTTTAATCATTTCAACCCAAGCAAGGCAAGAAAGTCACTAAGACGCAAGGTGTTACTGAATGTGAGAGAATATGAGACTAAATAAAGAGTTTGGTTAAAAATTCCAACGTATATCAGCTGAAGAAGGCCGGAGTGTACGACGGCCGAAACGTTGTGAATATGGCAATAAAGATGGAGACAACAATCCGAAAGATGTAAATAGTGTAAATATAATCTTAGAAAGATAGACACTTTTTGAAGATGGCCGGAGCATACAACGACCGAAACATCATGAATATAGCGATAAAGATGAGGACAACAGTCCAGACAATGGAAATAGTGTACATAGTTACAACGGCGAAAACGTCGTGAACATGGCTATAAAATTGAGGACAACAGTCCAAATGATGTAAATAGGATAAATAATAACTTGGACCGCTTTTAAATGTGAATAAAGTTTGAATGTCTAATGTCTTTTTTTTTTCTTTTTCTTTCAGATTTAACAACTTAAGTCTTTGGCAATTTCAATCATGGAATGATTAACAATCAAGCAACTTTGTCAGTGTGTCATGCTTTTTCAACTTGATTGTTTTAAGATTTCGTGCATGACTTATGGGATTAGTTTGAAGCATACAGTGTTTTATTCTGACAATTAGTCACCCAGTATATGGACCAATAACCATTCAAAATAGAGGCTTTCTGAATAAGGTTGTTATAAGCGCTTACAATGAAGAACTAAGTGATATAATCAAGATGTCTAGGATAGATAATGATTGTAAAACAAAAAATGAAATTCTTTTGGGTATTTGTTCTCCAACGTAACAGTTTTAAGAAAGATGCTGTCTGATTAGAACTTCTTCCTTGCTAATGGAATATAAAGGATCAGTCAACTGTGTGCGTGACATGACTGGTCCTAGCTGGGGAGGTTTTAACTGGTTGAACTAAGGAATGTAACACATCTGCCATGAAAATGGAGATAAAGTGTGCTCCAATAACTTGGACCGATTTTAAATGTGAATTAAGTTTAAGCTTCTAATGATATTTTTTCTTTTAAAAAATAATATTTAGATAATAAGGCATATTGGTAAGATCGAGGAGCAATTATGCAGAGACGTCATCAAAACATTTGTCCATCGATTGGAGGTGTGCTGCCGAAGTCTTGGCGGATATTTGGGCGGTTTTATTTTTCACACATAATTGCCATAAGTTAACATAACCCAATAGAGACATAAATAAATTTTCACCAATAACACTGATTTATTTACTGCTGACTTTGATCCGTCTTAACGAAACGCCGCTAACTAAGCATGAAAATGTAGAGCTAGGTTGGGAAGATCTTCTACATTCATCATATATTTCCTGATTTAACCTCTTAATATTACCACATTTTTAGTCACTTTCTAAAGGATGTTTCAAGAACTTGGACTGATTTTAAATGTGAATTAAGTTTAAGCTTCTAATGAATTTTTTTTCTTTTTCATTCCGATTCAACAACTTAAGTCTTTGGCAATTCAACCATGGAAAGATTAACAATTAAACAACGTGTTAAAGTTATCGAAGCCTATTACGAAATATAGGTAGGTAAATTCCCATTGTCCCGAACAATTCTACTACAATTATAATAGGATACTAATCATAGCAATTCCCAATAGCAGACTTTACAGATACCAACATCTACCACTGAGATGAAATTTAGATTTTTATTATTACATTATTTATCCAAAATTTTAACACATCACCAGATAGTTATTAATGTCGACAACTGAACAGAAATAGTTATTAATTTAAAAAATTAGTAATTAATGTATAATTTTAAATTTATAAATTAATAGAAAATAAAAGTAATTCATATTACTAAAATTAGTAAGTCTCGTGATTATATCCTTTTCCTGCTAGAAAAAGCCTTAAATGTTAAATATTAATTTTTTTTAAATGAACAAATCGCGACATCTACCAGTGAGATGAAATTTAGATTTTTATTATTACATTATTTATCGAAAATTTTAACACATCACCAGATAGTTATTGACGTCAACAACTGGGTACAAATAGTTATTAATTTAAAAAAATAGTAATTAATGTCTAATATTATCCATAACTACATGTACAAGAATATCATTTTCGATAATTGTTAAAAAAATATCTATAAATACGTAAAAAGTGCGTATATTGCTGAAAATTCCCTTTTCCACAATATTGTCTAAATAATAATAATAATAATAATGAATATTTTTTTTAAACATTAAAGTATAGTTAATCACATCTCCCTAATTGCTATCACAAATCCAAACTAATCCTTGCGGTTTGCAGGCAGCAAATGAATAAAAGTTATTTTATTATGTGTTAAGATAGATTTGTCTTTTATTTTTATTTGTTTTTGTTCATCCCAAAAACCTTGGATATAAGAGCACAAAAGCTGAGTATCATCTACCATGTATTCAATTGTGAAAGCAGAATAACATATTTTAATTATATAACATATAACATATTTTAATTATTAATTAGTAGAAAATAAAAGTAATTCATATTACTAAAATTAGTAAATCTCATGAATATATCTTTTTCCGGCTAGAAAAAAGCTTTTAATATTAAATATTATTTTTTAAATGAACAGAACGGAACATCTATCAGAGAAAATTAAATTTAAATTTTTATTATTGCATTATTTCAAAATTTTCACACAAGTTAAAAAAATAACCATAAATACGTAAACAATGCATATATTGACGAAAATTCCTTTTTCCACAATATAGCTATTTGTGCTATGTTATAATACTTATTACCTAAACAATAATAAAACTGAATTTTTTTTTTTAACTTTAAAGTATATTTAATCACATCTCCCTAATAGCTGTTGCGATCTGTTAAACCATACAAGGGTTTCTGCCTTCCGAGCAGGCGTCAGTCTCGTAAGCGTGCGTACCTCAAGACAGCCAGATAAAAGCATTACTGCAATTAAAACTCTGAGGACAAAGTTCTGTTTATCAGCAGCTTTATTAAAAGTCCAAAGGTTAAAAATAGAAAAAAAATATTATCTATAACTACATGTCGCGATTTGTCAATTTACCCTAAGCAAAGAAGTAAAGCGACTAAGACACAAGGTATTATTAAAAATTAGAAACCAAAAACGTTATTATTATAATTATTTCTTTCTTTCTCCCTTTTTCTTTCTTTCTTTCTTTCTTTCTTTCTTTCTTTCTTCGTTTCTTTCTCCCTTCCTTCCTTTCTTTCTTTCTTTTTTCCTTTCTTTCTTCCTTCCTCCCTTTCTTCCTTCCTTCCTTTCTTTCTTTCTTCCTTTCTTTCTTTCTTTTCTCCTTTCTTTCTTTCTTTCTTTTATTCTTTCTTTCTTCCTTTCTTTGTTTCTTCCTTTTATTCTTCCTTTCTGTCTTTCTTCCTTTCTTCTTTTCTTTCTTTCTTTTATTCTTTCTTTTTTCCTTTCTTTGTTTCTTCCTTTCTTTTATTCTTCCTTTTTTTCTTCCTTTCTTTCTTCCTTCCTTTCTCCTTTTCTTTTCTCCTTTGGTTCTTTCTTTTATTCTTTCTTTCTAGTCAAATCTCCTTCTTGCGAACACTTCTCTTAATAATGATTTTAAAATACTTCTGTTAATCCAGATGCCCGATAATCCCGGGGATTATAACCTAGTGGATTAAAACGTTAATATGTGAATTTGGTGACATTCTAGTTCCGTTTTCAATCCCTAGACTGACAGGTACAGATCTAAAGTAAATTGAACAATAGTAAGAAACTAGATGAGCTATCTGTAGATATGAGCAATGGAACGAGAACAATCTAGCCCCGTAGATTGAATAAAGGGTTCGATCCAAAGTTCCCTGAAGATTACCCACAGAGACCTGAAAAAAAAGCCCGGAGAGTACAACGGCTGAAACCTTTTGTTACTAACAATGATGAGAAAATTAGTGCGAATATAAATAATACGTCCATTAAATATTTAGACAGACTAGGTAACAGCGGTCTCCCCGATAAAATCCGGACTCCAAACCGGCAAAACGTGCAGCGACTGACCTTATTGTAATTACAAAGATCAACTCTATAAGTCTACGAATAGAAACGTCATCGACCCGGAAAAAAAAACCTAGAATTCAAAGTCTAGCCTCAAACCATTTCTTCAGCTTTAGAATCTCTGAGAGTCCGTCGCAGAAATAAAGAGGACAAACTACAAAGACGCATGATTGGTCACGCCCAAAAGAAATAAAATATACCACCGACCACTTGTTATAGTCTAGACAGACCATACAAACCAGAATAGTCGATAACTACTGTATATATCACGATGACACAAAAGTATAGAGTATCTGGAGTTCTTCGGGATAACGTCAAGATTGAATAAAATCTTATTATTCTTTCTAAAATTGTTAAAGTGAAAATTGTTACTGACATAACCGCTAGCCAGGCATAGACGTGTATATACGCGTTTACCGAAAGTGTCTTCTTTTTTTTTTCAAACAAGGACGAATAAACACGTCCATAACATATAGTTTAAAAAACAGCTATAGACGTGTTTATACGTCGATCTTTATTCTTCTTTATGCCCTTTTAAGCTTGAAACGAATCCAGGTGTCAACTCATACGTCTTGTTAGCCACCGCTCAGGTACTTCAAGGTACCTCAGTTTTTAATCTTCCCTAACGAATATGGCACATTGAAGGTCGTTCTCAACGGATTCTCCTCCAGTTCCTATCCCACGAACGCAGGTGTTCCCCAAGACTCCATCCTTGGCCCCACTCTATTCCTTATTTTCATCAATGACCTTCCTGACGCCATAGATTACCAAGTGGGCATCTACGCGGACGACACTACAATTTACTCCTGCCTCAAAAACAAATCTAGTGTCGGTGACAAAACTAACCTGGCCGTGCGTCTTGAAATGGACCTCCAATCGGTTGTTAATTGGGGCAAAAATTGGCTGGTCAACTTTAACGCCTCAAAAACTAAACTAATCTATATTAATCACCATAGAGATCCTTCCCTCCCCCCCATTAGAATGTCTGATAGTCAACTTCTTGAGAACAACTCTCTGCGTCTGCTCGGTCTCACGTTGACTGCTGACCTGAGATGGAACAAATACATTGAGTCAATTGCTTCGTCCACCGCAAGGAAAGTTGTCTCTCTGTGCCGCGCCAGGAAATTTTTCTCCCCGGAATCGATACTTCAAATATACAAATCAACCATTCGCCCTTGCATGGAGTATTGCTGCCATATATGGTCTGGGGCACCTTCTGTTTACCTCGGAGTTCTTGACAAGATCCAGAGACGGATATGTAATATAATTGGCCCTGATCTGGCATCTCGTCTACAGTCACTCTCTCACAGACGCGCCGTCGCCTCTCTCTGTCTTTTCTACAAATACTTTCATGGTAATTGCTCCGATGAGCTGCTTTCACTGTTTCCCGGACTCCATGAATTCAAGCGCCCTACGAGGCTGGCATCGCGCTCTCACCCTTTCACTGTAGAAACTTTTAAATGTAGCCATCTCTTCTATTCCAATAGCTTCATACCTCGCTACTCTCGCCTGTGGAACACCCTTCTCTATTACTGATTCTCTGAGAGCTATAATCTCCAACTATTCAAGTGTAATGTCAATCGACATCTCCAGTTACCTTGATCTATCCACTATCCCTCTCCTCATCCTTTCTTCTATCACTCCTATCTGCTCTCGCTCCAAATCTTCTGCAACCCCTGCATCCTAGTGACTACACGCCATGCTCGGGGCGTAATGCTTAAAAAAAAAAGGAAAAGAAGGTATGAGCGGCTATGACCAAGCTAAGACTAGGTCAGACCAGCGGCCCGAGTGGAAACACTCCGGTTCCCACGCTAAAAATAGACCCTGTGTCACAACCTAACTCAGTGGTGGGGTCAAAATAAATCTGAGGTATAACCACTTGACTGTATCCCTTTTGAATGTGAACTTTATTTTATTTTGTCAACTTTTTTTACTGAGTTAGTGATTTATTATTACTTTTCGTTACTATATATTACATCCTAGTTTTTTTCTTACACTTCCGACACTTTTATTTCTTCCAACGTTATTATTAGCGGATACCCGTATTTGAAATAGACGCCCCATTTTAAATCTTTATTTTAAACAGTATGTATCACGTCTATGGGTCTCCGCCTTCGAAAAAGTTTAATAAAGAAAATACTCAGGCCGATATACGTAACACATACAGTTTAAAATAAAAAAAAATAAAATAAAAATTGGGCCTCTATTTAAAATACAAATATGCACTATAATAATGTTTGAAGCAATGAAAATATCGAACTCAAAATAAAGGCATTAATTCTTTAGAAATTACTTTACGTTTCGGGTGCGAACCTGATCACATACGGGATTTTCGATAAAATTATCTAAATGGAAAAGGACGCTTTGCCTGAAAGTTAAAAAAGAGCTTTCTCCGAAATGTGATACTCACTGTAGCTGAGTGGGAAAGCACGCTGGATCAAATGGTAGAGCAGCAGGTTTGATCCCTGCCGGAGAGCTCATTTTTTTCATTTCTCGAACGCGTAGACCCATAGACGTAACACATAGTGTTTAATATAAAAATTCGGCTTCTCTTACAAACACTAATTTCCACCATAATAACGTTTGAAGTTATATATATATATATATATTTTTGAATAAAAGACAGACCACGTTAAGATTCCATGTAATAAGCTATTTCACCATAACCCCTTTAACAGGGTTCTGGATCATCAGACTTTACTTCCAAAAGCTGAAATGAAAAATGAAAAGAAATTCACACGTTTTTTTACGGACCTCATCAAGTATACGCAAAGTTAACGAAGTGAGGAAGTGAGGTGGGAGAGAGGATATGAGTGTGTCATATGTATCATTTTAGTTTCCTATTTTAACCCCAGTGTGTCAGCTGGATGTTGCTCAAATCTAACGCGTCTCGTCTCTAGATAAAGGTGGTTAGGGGGTGAGCGATAAGGACTACATTAAGGAAAACAATCCCAATAAATTACACGACAGGTTTCATTCAAATTCTTAGACGCTGTCAGTTCGCGTTACTTTAACGTGCATATTTGGGATATATATATTTGGGATATATATATATATATATATATATGAAGAAAAATATACTGAAAAAACAAACAAAAATCCTAATATGCGATTATGCTGTTTTAATGTTTAATGTCAACGTCGGACGTTTCGGTCTAATAGACCATCTTCAGGACATATTCATAAAACATAATCAACATAGACCATATACAGTTATCTGTTTGGATTGGTATTGCTTTTATGTCCATCGTCTTTTTCATGCTGAATTGTATATGGGCTATGTTGATAATGTTTTATGAGTATGTCCTGAAGATGGTCTATTAGACCGAAACGTCCGACGTTGACATTAAACATTAAAACAGCATAATCGCATATTAGGATTTTTGTTTGTTTTTTCAGTATATTTTTTTTCATACTGTCGGATCTATATCCATATATTTGTTTATATATATATATATATATATATATATATATATATATATATATATACTAAAAAGAAAAATAGTAGGCAAGACTAGAGCCAGACCAATAAAAATTTGAAAGAAATTTTTGAATTTTTTCTTAATCAATTTTCTACAACCACTAAGAAATTAATTCGTGGACTAGAAAGGATTAAAATTAAAACAAATCAACATAATGCGTCTAAATTATTAAACCAAACATAGTTGAATGAAAATATGCTTCCGATATATATATATATATATATATATATATATATATATATATATATATATATATATATATATACTGAGAGAGAGAGGCGGGGAGCGTTCCGGTTAGCAAGGTCGATTTTACTGTTTTTAAACTACAATTTTCCATGATTTTCTAACGTGCATTCATATCTACTCGATGCGTATCCAAATGTAAACAAATGACGTCACACATTATGACGCTTACTATAAACATAAAAATGTCTTTAAAATAATTGTCGGACTTTGTCCATTTCATTATATATATATATATATATATATATATATATATATATATATATATATATACTACATAAAAGGTTAATGGTTAGAGCTAAATCTGACCAGGAAACAGTAGTATTAGAACGGGCTCAATAGACATATGAAAAAATAAAATGAAAGCAAAAATAACATGTACAGCTTTTAACTTTAAAAATCAGGTCAGCTGAATCTGCTACCTTTCTTTCAACCTTTCTATATGAGAGACAGACAGACAGACAGACAGAAAGACAGACAGAGCGTAATTTACATGTATAGCTTTTAACTTTAAAAATCAGGTCAGCTGAATCCTCTACTTTGGTCAAATGATAAAATCCCCTGAGGATACCGTAAGTTTGAAAGCAAGGAGTCAAGGGGTATATATATATATATATATATATATATATATATATATATATATATATATATATATATATATATATATACTTTAAAAGCAGGAGGTCAGTTGAATCCGCTACCTTGCTTTCAGTAGTATATATATATAATATATATATGTGTGTGTGTGTGTGTACAAACAGATATACAGTGAGAGAGAAACGGGGAAAGAGTATAAAATATATATAAGAGAGAGGGAGAAAGAGAGAGCGTAAGGTTGTTAACGTCTGCGTCTTGGAAAAATAAACATAATTTGCTTTCCTGCTATTATGATTCCATTGCCTGAAATTCTTCGGAAGGAAGTAGTTTTGTTCACAGTCCAAGTAAGAGGATACAAATTCTTGCTACCGTCTCAAGATATCAGACAAAGAGGAATGGTAAGAAAAGCCCTCAAAACAACACCAGTCTTATTTTGAGGAAGCTACCTGAACGCGACAATGAAACTGACAATACACAATATTCTTGTTTCCATTTTCTTTGCAAAATACGATATTTTATACAAAAGGAGTGGAAAATAATGATCTTTTACTAAAACTTTTCAACTCCCCCCAACTTAAGCAAGGTGATAATGTCACTAAGTCGCAATGTCGTTACTATGAGTGAAAAATAATCAGAATATTTTAGTTAGGTGAATGGATAATAAAAGAATTTTTAACGGCTTATCAACCTATTGTAGGTTATTTAAAACCGAAACTTATTTTGGATTGTAAGAATAATTTCTTTTTTTACGGTTTATCAACCCATTGCGGGTTATTTAAAGCTGGGATATATTTTGGATTTTAAGAATAATTCCTTCTTTTTTACGGCTTATCAACGAATTGCAGATAAATTAAAGTTGAAACATATTTTGGATTGTAAGAATAATTTCTTCTTTTTTACGGCTTATCAACCCATTGTAGGTTATTTAACGCTGAAACATATTTTGGATTGCAAGAATAAGTTCTTCTTCTGTTTTACAGCCTATCAACTCATTGTAGATTATTTAAAGCCAGGATATATTTTGGATTGCAAGAATAAATCTTTTTTTTAGTCAATATTTTATTAACAGTGTTTTCAGATAACTATAATTTTTCCAAATTAAGAAGAGAAAATGGCAATTGACATTGCATTTAAATTTTGAAGATTGTAGGTGTAAGGGAACAAAGAAACCGGATGAGAGTTTTACAGGCTAGAAAAGGAAATATCGAAATAGAATTTACGGTTTACATCTAGCTAATTCAACAGTAAAACAATAACATCTCGATGCCAATCTAGTATTATATTTCCAGATAAAATTCATATTTATTCCATGGCTTGTGGGAGAAAATTCATACCTTTACTTCGTCAGAAATTATCCAGTCATATGAAAGTAAAAATCACTTGTCTATCGCCAGTTCCACGCTTCTTTCTTTTCTTTTTTTTCGGGGCACTCTGTGAAATCCTTTTTCAAAATCACTCAATTGCTCTGTCGAATCAATCGCCCTGATGAATTTGTATCCATCTCTTTCGCGGTCTTTTCATTTACGATTATGGTTTTTAGAAAAGACAGAAGTCACAGTAAGTTCATTCTGGAAATTAGGGTTGTGCGAGGAAGGGGCTAATAAAACAAACAGGTCGACGCGATAATCTGTCAAGAAGAAAAATCCGGGAAAAAAAACACATTTCTAACAAGCAGACGATACGTTGTTAAAAAAAGTAACGATATATTTCAATTCTAAGAATTATGAGTTAACCAAAGCAAGAAAGACAATAATTGGAATGGCAGAAAAAAACGTACTGAATTAGTTCATAATCATTTATTCTGAAAGCAATTACGTATTTCACTACTGGGAAATATAAATGAACCAACTAAGACACAACTCGTTGAGAAAATGTGTCTATATTAAGTATATCATCCTTCCTGTCTGTGAGTATCTTTTTAATTGTTCCCCCCCAAGCAAGGCAATAATGCTTCTAGAACATAGGAGGGTTGCAAGGAATGATTAAGAAAAGGAACATGGTTCATAAGACAAAAGACAAAAGTGAAATTGAATGACAAATCTTTAATGTTTGAGAAAAGGACAAAACAGGAACAGGGTTTATGAAACAGAAGACAAAAGTGAAATTGAATGACAAGTCTTTAATATTTGAGAAAAAGACAAAAAAGAAACGGTTCATGTGACAGATAACAAAAGTGAAATTGAATGACAAGTCTTTAATCGTTGAGAAAAGGACAAAAAAGAATCAGGGTCATGAGACAGAAGACAAAAGTGAAAGTGAATGACAATTTTTTAATGTTTGCTAAAAAGGGCAAAAAAGGACAGGGTTCATAAGACAGAATCAAGAAATCGAAAGCTACTTCCACCAGTGATAAGTTGCTTCAAGTAAATTCAACCGCAGAACGGTGAGACCTGACTGCCAATCTAGTAGCAAGCTTAAATTCATGAAGTCGATGCACCAGGGGAAAATTTCACCAGAATAGTTGCCATGAAAATATTTGTAGAAATGACAGAAACCATGTCTCGTCAGTGAGAAAGTGACTGATGTCAAGATGCCTGGTCAGGATCGATTGTATTGCAGACTCTTTTACCAAGAATCTGACAATGTACACAAGGAGCACCAGACCAGATATGACGGCGATGCACAAGATGGAATGCAATGTGCAAGATGGATTCTAAACGAGAAAGTTTGTTCTAGCTTAAGACAGTGTACCAACATTTTTTATACTAGACGTAGCAATTGCTTTGATATAGTCACTTCACTTCTTGTTAGCGGGAAAATGGTGAAACTATGAGGCCAATCAGGCGTAACGTGATGCTTTTCTGAATTTTAGCATCAGCCATGCGGATAGCAGACAAAAAAATTGTGCCATTTATAGCGCATTTAACCCCATGGATTAAAACTTTAAAAAATTTTCCATTATTTTATGAAATATTTGAAAACATTTGGGCAGTGTGTATGACGATTCGTATATGTCAATAGTGTCTTAACACGTATTAAAATGGTAAATGTGAGATATTCCACAAGGTGATCCATGGAAAGATGATCCACTTTGAAGGAAGAACTTTTGAAGGATACTATAGAATTGTATTCCGGTCAAAGTATTCCTTTCTGCATTTCCACCTTCCTTATTTTCTTTCGTTTATTCCTTTCTGCCTTTCCTTCTTTTCTTTCGTTTATTCCGTTCTGCCTTTCCTCTTCCTTCTTCTCTTTCGTTTATTCCTTTCCACCTTTCCTCCTTCCTTCTTTTCTTTCGTTTATTCCTTTCTGCCTTTCTTCCTTCCTTCTATTCTTTCGTTTATTCCTTTCCGGCTTTGCTCCTTTCTTCTTTTCTTTCGTTTATTCCTTTCTGCCTTTCCTTTATTACTTTCGTTTATTCCTTTCTTCTTTGCTCCTTCCTTATTTTCTTTCGTTTATTTCTTTCTGCCTTTTTTCCTTCCTTCTTTTCTCTCTTTTATTACTTTCCGCCATTCCTTATTTTTTTTTCGTTTATTCCTTTCTGCCTTTCATTCTTTACATTCGTTTATTCCATTTTGCCTTTCCTCTTCACTTCTTCTCTTTCGTTTATTCCTTTCTGCCTTTGCTCCTTCCTTCTTTTCTTTCGTTTATTCCTTTCTGTCTTTCCTTCTTTTATTTCGTTTATTCCTTTCTGCCTTTCACTCCTCCTTCTTTTCTTTCTTTTATTCCTTTCTTCCTTCCTTCTATTCTTTCTTTTATTCCTTTCCGCCTTTGCTTCTTTTCTTTCGTGTATTCTTTTCTGTCTTTGCTCCTTTCTTCTTTTCTTTAGTTTATTCCTTTTTGTCTTTCTTCTTTCCTTCTTTTCTTTCCTTTATTCCTTTCTGCCTTTCCTTTATTCCTTTCTGCCTTTCCTTCTTTTCTTTCCTTTATTTCTTTCTGTCTTTCCTACTTCCTTCTTTTCTTTTGTTTATTCCTTTCTGCCTTTCCCCCTTCCTTCTTTTCAATCGTTTATTACTTTCTTACTCCCTCTCTATTCTCCTTGATTCATTTCGTTATTATTTTTCCATCATTCTCGCGTCTTTCTTTTCCTTTTACCCTCCTTCCTTTCTATTCTTCTTTCTATTCTTTTTTTCTTTCATTACTTCCTATCTTGTTTCATTTCCTTTTTTTATTCCGCCATTCTTTTTTGCTTTATTTATCGTTACTTTTTCTTCGTCGTTTTTACTCCGTTATTCAGTGTCTCGTATCTGATAGAATTTACCCAGAGATAAAAACATCTGTATACTGCACTTTCATTAGAGGTCGTCATTATAGATAATCATTATCGTTCATTATTTTCAGTCTTTTTTTTTATTTCATTTCATCTCATGCAATAAGAGAAAATCTCTTTCGAAGTAAAGAAAATGCTGTTCCGGGGTCAAATTATTTGGGTTACGAATTCACAACTTATTAAATATTCATTATTTCCTACGTTGAAACAAATCGAGAGAGGCAGGCGGTTTAGGAATTAGGTTGTCAGCGGCCGCGTTCCACTGTTACAATTTTTATGGAAGATGGAAATTCCTTCGAAAAACATAAACTTCTGTGTTTATTTAATTTTCCGGAAGATTTGAAAATTATCTTCTGAATAAGCTGGCATCTTAGAGTTCTGAATTTAGAGGTTAATTTGAAACAGCAAACTATTTATAACGTTCTAAAGAAATTGAAGTGACGAAAATGTAAGAGACGAAAATGTAAGAGACCGCACTAAACTGTTTCTACTACTAAACCGTTTCTAAATCTGTTGGGTTATTTTTGTGACCAAGTAAATGGTTAAAGACATAACAAAACAAGTGTCACATATATATCATATATTAAACAGTTAGTACAACAGAAGAGTATTACACGACTAGTGAGTGTGTGTCTAATCGACTGTTATATTTAACAGCCCCCTACGAGGGATCTATGTGGCACAAGACCGAGTTTACCGTGGGTTGTCCGAGCTCGTAGGTTCGGCCAAAAATATTCCCATAGAACCCGTATAAACGGGTTCGGAGACTCCTGGGAGGAGACTTTGTCCTTCGGCAAAGCCTCATTCGGGTTCCTTTCCGCCAAGGCGAAGAGTTTGGCAGTCATGAACAATCTGGTCGACTGCTATATTTAACAGTCCTCCCACAAGGAATGTATGTGGCACAAGGCCGAGTTTAACGTGTGTTTCTCCGAACCCGTAGGCTCGGCCAAAAATATCCCCTTTGAACCCGCCTAGACGGGTTCAGGGACTGTCTACCTCCTCGGACGAAACTTTGCGCTCCGGCAAAGCTTTGTCTGGGTTCCTCTCCGCCGAGGCAGAGAGTTCGACAGCAATGAACAACCTGGTCGACTGTTCCCCCAAGGCCTTCTCTCCTACAAATGTTATAGTAGGCGGAAGAGTCCTACATAGACTCTTTAGAGGGAGGACTCTACAACAGTTATGGAAGGATAGTTGAAGCCAGAACTGAATCGTAGAGTACTCTGTTTAAAAGGTGACAATATATTTTTATTGGTAAGTAATAGTAAAGATAAAGGAGAAATATATTATTTCCTGTCTGAAATCAGAAGCAAGGGAGAATTGAAATGATAACCTTAACCCTGCCGAGGCACCCACAGGTGACACAAAAACGGAACTGTCAGAGCCCCCACGGGTTTTGTCCGTTAGAATTTAAAAAAGGAGACACGGTGATCCCAAAATAGGATCGCCTGGTTGCCCAGAGGTGATGAAAACCAGGGTCGCCGAGGCACCCATATTTGATGAACAAACTAGACCGAGTGCCCACGGGTGATGTAAAAACGGGACTGTTGGAGTGATCACAGATAATCCCATAAACGGGGTTCTGGGTACCCGAAACGGTGCTTAAACAGGACCGCTAGGGTACACACAGTTGATACAAAAATAAGACCGATGAGGTATTCATATTTCATGCAAAAACCAGCGGATAACGTGCACCATTACAGACGCAAATGAAGCCCCGAATAGTATCCGAATTTGTCTGACAGAACTAGTTACATCCGGATTATCCTCGTTAGCAGCAGAACATCTCATCATATCTAGATACAGTCCTCTCTGTAACATCTCCTGATATGGGTCTTTGTCAAATGTCAATAAAAGCGTCAGGAAAACCAGCAGTGGGCAGTTGGCGAAACTCGGTGAATGGTGAAGACGTTCCTTTGTGCATTTTGTTCCGGAAGTTGCGTGCGGTGGTTTCTGGGGTAGTGTTATTTCGTTTCCTCTCGTCTCTTTCCCTTCTCTGCCTGTTACCCTGTAGTTCTTAGAAAAAAAATATCTGTTAAGTGTTTACCCCAACCTCAACACACCCTTGCCTTATTTTACAACAAAACCGGACCACCGGGGTATCCACAGGACTGGACTCCCGGGGTGATCACAGAATAAACGGGTCCATCGAGGTACCGACAGATGATACAAAAAATTGGACATCGAAAGGGGCTATCGGGGTTACCCACAGACAATTCAAGAAACAGGCCGTCGGGTGCCGACAGTAATGGAAAAAAAGGGGTCATCGACAAATAAATACATAATCAAAGATTAGCAATGTTAGAAATTATAACAAATAACTTCAGTCTTTATCGATACGGTGAGCCTCTCTCGTATATCCGCCTTATACATTAAAATCTGTAGATAAAACACTACCTGGGACACTTCCGTTGTTATAGTCTGGGATTATGCATCAGGCTGCTAGGGGTTCTTTGCTAGGCTAATGCATTTTAGAGTAATTTTTGTTTAATTTTATTTTCGTAATTTTACTACACATGTATGGTATATTGTTGAAAAATCCTTGTTTATTATAATAAAGGCTTCAACCACTGATATTACTTAGAATTATGATAATCATAGGGAATGTATTTAGCACTGTCTATATGGCATAAGTGTGAAACCGCTTTCATTGGTTGGTGGACAGGACCTGTACATTTCGGATTCGTGTATCATTGAGTGACTCAGTTGAGGACAGGACGAGCGTCCACCTATCACGTGAACTGCGATAAAAATATAAACGGGATTGATATTAATAATGGCGTATAATAATTTTGGTGCAGGGGTTCCCCTGAGGCATGATAATTTATCAAGTGTTACACAAGAGTAAAAATGGTTGAGAAACTCTGGTCTAGGGCCCTTAGTGTTATAGTTAGTTATCTATTTACAATTTATTTTTTTTGTGTGTGTAGATCGTGTAATGTGTTAGGATGCGATTAATAAATTGTCGTCTAAATGACGCAAAATGAAAATAACACTGACCTCATTTTAACAGATATACAAGGTGCGATGGATAAACCGTCGTTTAAATGAGGCCAAAGTTAAAATAACATTGAAATCTCATTTTAACAGATATACAGGGTACGATGGATAAATTGTCTTCTAAATGACGCCAAACTGAAAATAACACTGACATCTCATTTTAACATATATATTTACCAAAATGACACAAAAATATCTTGAAATACTAAAGAGTGGATTTATTCAATAAAATCGCCATTGGCTTCAATGACAGCTTCCAGACTCCTTCGGAATCACCTGCAACTCTTCCGGACAGTCTCCTTGGTTAAGTTGGTGAATGCTACAATAATTCTTACCTTCAGTTCATCTTTGATGTTAAAAAGAGTTTTGTTGGTTCACTGCGCCCCACACATAATAATCAAGTGGGTTGCAGTCTAAGGGTGATGCAGACGTAGATATTGTCTGGCAGCTATGACTGGGTTCTCCTGTTTGTGTGGCATGATGCAAAGTTCTCTTCCACCCTGCCACACAAACAGATAGCGGGTCCTCCAGCAGCCACCCTCTTGACCCAGGGCAACTCAACCTCCTCAAAGCACTTAATGTCGGCGTCCGTGTTGAGACGGAGGCTCTGTGGGAAGATAAATGGAGTTCTAACGTCGCAATCGCTAGTGATTTAGAGGAGGCACGGTAGAGTAATGGATAGCGGCTTGGACTGAGGAATCGGAGAGCCGAGTTCGACTTCCAGTCGAATACATTGCATTCACTTACGTGCTAATACCCTTGGAAAAGGTGTGAATCCTCTTCTTCTTCCCCCAGCTATGGGTAAATAGCGGGACAAACTTGGTTCTATAGCCTTGGATGGCAACTGGTTTAGGAGAAGGAAAACACTGAATTCAAAACCTACGGAGGGTCGTTTAGGGACCTTGTGGCACGTAGTGCACCAGGTCTCTGTATTCAGCCCTTCAAAAAGTGTGGATGTTTATGCACAAAGACTTCTCAAATATACATCTGGCTGTCGGTTCTAGGAGAAGGAAAACTCTGAATTCAAAACCTGCGGAGGGTCGTTTGGGAACCTTGTGGCACGTAGTGCACCAGGTCTCTGTAATAGGCCCTTCAAAATGTGTGGATGGTCCTGCACGAAACCTTCACCACTATAATCAAATCTCATGTGCTATACATGCGAGTTGGGGACCGCTTGTGAATTCCAAATTCCCATGAAACTTCAATATTGGAGCCGGCTCAACCCACCTCGGGTGAATGCCGTTACAGGTACAGGTAATCGCTAGTGATCACTCTAAACATCAGGAAGTTGATTGGATTTTGGGTTTTCATTGCTTTCAGTATATATTTTGGGGACACAACAAGCCAACGGTTGTTTTGTGTGTTCACTAGTCTTATCATGGCAGAATTCTTTCTCGTCTGAGAAAAAAAAACAAAAATACGTTATGTTGGAGGGGATGATTTTATTTGTTCAAAATCTTCGTAACACGATCTTTCCTCTTGTCTTTCATCTCTTGCAATAAAAATTGGCCCTTTCTCATCTTTTCTGAGAAACACCATGAACTACCTGCCTGATAAGAAACTCGCTTGTTATGGACCTGATTGTCTTGGAGGGATCGTTGTCAATCATTGACTGGATCTGACCAACAAATTCAAGAGTTCTTATCAGAATGATCAGAGTGTATTTTCCAAACTGCCGTACCTTCGTAATCACCAATAGACTCGTTCATCTCTTTACGAATCCTCTGCAATGTCTTAAGATTGACACCCAAACACTCTCAAATTTTCGCATTAGAGCTTCCGGCGGGAATGTCAAGCTGTACAACTTGACGTTACCAAATTTGTGGCGTAGAGATCTGCGTCATGGTGCTCTTTTTCTCATAGACGTTTCCCAACTGACCTTACAATACACAGCAGTCGACAAAATCACAAACAAACAAAGCGCATGCGCGTAATCAAAATATAAAATGGCGACAATTTACCCATCGTTACCTGTATTTTTGTG